AGATTAACACATCATTGATTCTAATAGAAAATAGACAAGAATCTTTTTTTTTTCTATTTCTATACCATAGACTCTATTATTCTAGAAAAACAAGAAAAATCATTCTCAAATAATCAAATCAATATGTGTGTGTGTGTGTGCGTGTGCGCAAGAACCCTAGTTGTAAATATATTTAGTTCATGTGGTTTGGCATGATTTTGATTTCTGCCCCTGTTATTTTGAAATTCAATTGTTAGCTCTTTCCGTTGATTTTCGGTCCGAAATGGAAAGTGTACTGCCGTCTTCTCCCAAATAGAACACACGATCATTATTGCTGTATTTGGCACAGCTTTCAGTCCAGACGCAGCAATAATGACTGGGCTTTCTATTCAGGTGACGACGGTACGGAAGACTACAAGGCAAGGCCAGTGAGAGTAAAAAGAACTCGTAGGTTCGCTGCATTGGAAATCACAAGGCACCGGTACTCGAAATTGCAAAGCACTGGTGTAGCATGCTGAGGCCGCTACACGGGCCCTGTTTTGAGGGCCCGGCGGTTGTTCCAGGCCCCCAGGTCGCGCACCCATTTTTGGTGAGCGACCTGGAGGCCCATGGCCATGTTTCCAGGCCATGCACACATTTGGTTCCACGTGTGCTCTCCTTTATTCAGCATCGGACTTTTCCTTTTGTCTGAACAGGCAGATTCCTGCTCGGACCAGTGGTTTTCAGTTTCGGCCATTGTAGGCCAGGTTCAGGTTTGTCCGTATCTGGGACTGGACCAGGCGTTCATCTGTTTGTGCCTGGCCCAGTCCTCAGGACCCTGCTGCATCAGCAGGGTGCCTGGACGTCCGGTAGAGACCCAGGCAGGCCGTTTTTGGCCAGCATCGTAGGACCAGGACTTGTGCCTGCGATCGACGGTCCTGATTGCAGACCGAGGACTGCTCAGCCAGGCCCAGCAGTATATAGCTAGGCCAGTCCTCCACTTTGAGGACATTCAAGCTGGAGCCTCAGTTGGGCGTCACGCTGCTGGAGCAGCACCAGTTTGGGGAGAGCTGTGATAGAGCAGCGCTGGAGGAGTAGAGGAGTAGGCTGGAGTGGAGAGGTTTGGCGGAGGTCATGTCCACGAGGGAGAGAGAGACTTACCTGGGCGCCATAGCTGGGACTTCATACCGGTCATGGGACCGCCCTTCAGCACCGACCTGCATCGGGAGTCATCCCCTTCGCTGGTCAGTAGGTGTGGCATCGTCATCAGGAGCCACTATTCTTCTCCTTCTTCTCCTGACTTTTCTCCACTCCTCCATAACCACTATTCTTCTTCTTCTCCTCATCCTCCCTCTTCTCTTCTTCCTCTTCACACACACACACACACACAGAGAGAGAGAGAGAGAGAGAGAGAGAGAGAGAGAGAGAGAGAGAGAGAGAGAGAGAGAGAGAGAGAGAGAG